AATCTCCTGTCTTGGATTCAATGGGGTTAAAACAGGAACGAAACCGAAACCTCCAAGCTAGCTTCCAAGCTTACACCTCCCTTAACAGCACCTACAGGCAGTGAAAAAAGCGCGGATCATCCGCTCCTGTCAGTGTAAACAGCGCGAACCAGTCCCTCGGGTCAGTACATTGGAAACAGCGGGAATCAGCCCCTCGGGACAGTGGGAACAGCGCAGATCAGTCCATCCGGTCTTTGGGAATAGCGCAGATCAGTCCCTGTTGTCAATTGAACAGCCCTTTAAGAACACCGCAGATTATTTTTGTAATTCACTTTCCTGTATCGTGTAAAAAAACTGCAGTTTATTATGCTGCTCAGTGATAAACACCATCGAAAGCTCGTTAAAAATAACATATTTCGAATTTCTATTAAGATGAATCATGCTGTTGATGCAATAACTTACTGCTGGCTTTTATTACATATTCTTATTTTTTTGGTTTTATCTTTTTATTTTATATTGTGCGTCTGTCTTTTCGGATAATGCTTCTTTTCTTTACATTACATTAAATGCTAAGGTATTTTTTTTTCTTTACTTTACCGCCAGTGGACGCCAAAAGAGGTTTTCATTTATTTACAGCTTCGTTAGTAGACAGCCCCTGGACGGAGCTTTCGTTTCGGTGTAGAACAGAAAAATAGAGCAAATAATATTCTCTGATTCCAATGCAGCAAGTAGTGAATGTATCACATTCGAGTGCGGTACGCCATTATGCAACAGAAATGAAATGTGATGGGGGTTTAATGTCCGTACAAAATCAACTGTTCTGAAACTTTCCACACTGATCAGCAGTGAATATTCGCTGCTTAATGATCTCGCAATATTAACTGTTTTCCTTCTGAAAATTAAATTCTAGAACATCTTTTTGAAGTTTTAGAAAAAATAGATAAAAATGTTTGAAGGATGTCTAGATAAAATATATTTCCTATTCAGTGTAAATGGGAGTATGAAATGTGTAGAAGGTACCAGTTCACGCTCACAGTGTCTTATGTAAACAGGCTTCTTGGTGTTTGGGCTTAAGTAATAATAAAATATTACAATATTTGAAGTCCTGCTGTGCCATTTTAGCGCTGTATGAATCATTTGCAAACGACAATATTGTGAAAGTCGAATCTCGAATGGGAATATCAGCCGAGAAATGATTCAGTTCCATTCAGTATGTGCAAAGATATGTTGAACTGAAGTTTGATCGATCTATGATGCTTGCTTACCATGAAGCCTGCCGCCATTTTGTTTTCCACGAAAATTTAATCCGTTTGAATCTAAGCCGGGACATTATCTAGCGTTTGCATTTTAATTTTGTTCTTTTTAATTAAATGTTAATAATCTTTTTGAGTACATATTATTAGCGTGGATTAGAAATTTTATATCTTAGCGACAAATTCCTATGACGCATCGGAACATTCATATCTGATAACTGGTGAATAGACCATGAAATACAATTTATCATTCTTAACAGTCGCAGTCTTGTTGAGGTTAAAAGTTTACCAATGAAAAGGACCGAGCGAACTCTCGTCACTGTTTGCATATAGGTGGAATAAATTGTGTAAAAGTAAATTTTAATGAAATTTTGGCCGGGTTATTACCTCATGTGAAAATAACAATGATTGGTGTGTAATATTGGTTGGGGTATGAAATATTGGTGGGGTGCTACATCATACTATAATAACAGTGACTGATGAGGAATTTGATGTGGGGTACCAGTGGTACCAGTGGTATTATAACATGTACCACAGCATGTTATAACAACAATGGCATTGGTTGGTGTGAAATATCGGTTGGGATATGAAATATTGGGTGGGGTACCGCAGTATGTTTTAATAACAATGATTGGTATGAAATACTGGGTGGGAAACCACAGCATGTTATAATAACAATGATTGTTATGAACTATGAGGATGGACAGAAATTACACAGTAACAATGACTTGTATGAAAAAATATGTATATGCTTCAAAAAGTGGAAAACAGAATATCTTAACTTTAAGATTTCGTGAAATGAAATGAAATGAAAGAGAAGGAACATCCTACTTTTAAAGATTCTGTAATATGTTGAAGATGTGAATGTTTATTATCCATATAAACGAAAAGTGATCCATTAAGAAGTGACCTATAGATATAAATATACAGGCGGCTAGACGATATTTAATTTAATGGATGGGGTAGATAAGTAGACTACAATATAATATTCAAATAAACCCATATAAGACTAACATTGACCATAATGTTCTTTAGTCTAGTTTGCCGACGCTTTTCTCAAACATGTAAACGGGCCAAATATTGTGAACTACAAAGTGGAAGCTCGGTTTGTCGACGCTTTTATTACACTGGCAACTTTTCTTTCTAACACTTTGATCAATAAATATTTACATATTATAATAGTGGGGCAAATATTGTAAACGATGCAAAGTGGACACTCGGGTTTTCGTCCCATCCGAACGACCAGAAATATTTCCTTGTCCGATCCACTGTCCTGCACCACTGGAAATAGGGAAATCAGGATTTCCCTCGTCAACACCGGGTTCGAACCTGGGACCTCCTAGTTAAAAAAACATTATGTAAGATTTAGATAAAGAGATGGTCGTTCTCGCTATATATAATGGTTTAAAAATAGATAATGAAAAATGAATATATTGAAAATTACTTCATTCTGTGCGACGACTAGAGTCGTCGATAATGAACAAAGTCTCGATTATCCATTTTTAAACTAAATTATGGCATGGCGAACATGTTTCAATCTAATAAAAATCGTGGGGTCACGGTGGCTAAGTAGGTAATACGCTGGCTCGCTAGCCCGGAGGTCGGGTGTTCCGGCGTGGTTCTCCCTTGTCAGTGATGCAGGACGGAGGGCCGAACAAGGACAGCTGTCTAGTCGTTCGGGTTGGACGGAAAACCGAGGTCCAGTGTAAAAGATCCCTTGACAGTTGGAATTCGATATAAGAATAGGTCGGGCAAAATTTCAATCATGGCACACTGTATGGCGTATGCCCGTCTTCATTAGCCCAGTTCGGCGCAGAAGAGTAGGACTTTAAACCCCATTTCATTTCATTTTCTATTAAAAATCATGACCATCAGATAGTCTGGAGAGTTGATTATAGGCTTGTTATGTTAATAAATGTCTAAATAATAATTTATATAGCATTTGTGGCCAAATGAAAGACCTGCAATTATACAGATTTAGCTCTTCTTCTTGTTGTTTATTACAGATTTAACGTCCAATACAATAAATATATTATGGAGAGGTTGATTTAGAAAATTATGTACATTTAAAGGGTTGAGAAATTGTGAGAAACACAAAAATAAAAAAAAATCCTTGTAAATCAAAAAGCCACCTTAAAACACACTTGTAAAATCGCTGTCATCTTCTCTCTTTGTCATAATAAACAAATTAAACAGGGGCTCCAGCAAACAGATGTTTGGCCTCATCAGTGTGGATAGAAAAAAACCGCGGAGAAAAAGAATCCGCTTGCTTTATGTGGAAAAGGTAAGTGCTAGTAGTAAAAAAACACATAGCTGGACCCGTGCGTTATTTACATATTAAAAACTGTTCGTCCAAAAAGTTCCACATAATTAAGTTAGTAAAAAGTTTTTTAATGCGGGTCACAAATTCAGCGTTTAAGAGTAAGTTTTCCTTGCGTATGACTCTCCCCAGATAAAAGTTACCTGAAAAGAAAAAAGAAGAGCCAGCAGCAACACAGAAGAGAGAGAGAGGGGGGGAGAGAGAGAGAGAGGTTTAACGTCCAATCGACACAAACTAGGTCATTTCGGGACTAACATATGGTTTAATTATACAGTGTGTTATGGTGGAAATTTTGCCTGGGCAGTAGGCGCTACGGCCTACTCTTATTTCGAATTCCAACTGCCAAGGGATCTTTTACGTGCACGCCAATATGTACACGGGACCTCGGTTTTTCGTCCCATCCGAACGACTAGACAGCTGTCCTTGTCAGACCCTCCGTCCTGCATCACTGACAAGGGAAACCACGCCGGAAAATCTGGATGAACTTTCTCGGCCAATGCAGGGATCGAACACCCGGTCTCAATGACAGGCTTTATGATACTGCGCGCACGTGCTAACCATTCGGCCATCCACACCCCCTCAACACAGAACACAAATAAAACAAATTCAAACATTTACAGCTCTTGAATAATGCTTCTTTAATCAACAATCGTCATTGTTAAGAGGTAGTCTAGGTGGGATAGATAATTAATTAATTAATTTGCAAGGACAAGTAAATAAATCCATATTATCCCGTTACTAACCAGGTAGCCTACGTAGGTAATACAATAATTATATAAATAAATCCCATCAAGCCTTATTATTAGTATCCCATTACTAATCTGTTATGACCTATGAAAACGATGTCGACGTCATGAGAAGACATCATTATTCGCGCCATTATTTAACATGCCGTTATATTTAACGGAGGTCTTGGGCTCCGTTATCGCTATTGGTTTAACGATGGAAATAGTCGACTGTCAGTTGAAGTGTATACCCTTAGCAAAAAGTCCTATAGAATACCAGCATAATTTTCTTTAGAATTCTATTTCTAAAATTTCTATAGTCAGTTTCTTGTTAATACCAACTTCTATGAAGTTGTTAGACATGTACATTGAATTTAAAACGTTAAAATTCAGACAATGACCAAACAGTCTTCTCTTGGATTAACTTTAACCAGGCCGTTAGGCTAACAGATAATGAAATTGACTTTCCAGCAACAGAAACTTAGCGGACAGTTAAAAATCCTTACCTTAGCAATGGATGGTTAAAATAACTGAGTTTTGAACAACCAGCCCCTGGTCATTTCCAGACTAACATAATATTTATTTTTATGTTTTTCTATGGCCACATGTTCAATGCCAGGTATCAATATTTTGTCCTTTACCGCTGCCAAGGGTTCTTTTATTTGCTTGCTAACACTACACTGGTGGACTTCAGAATTTTCATCCCATCCAACACACTAGACATACTCTATTAGTTGATATTTATTGGTTAAAGACAATAATACAACAGAAATGTGCATCTGGTAATAAAGTTATCATTTTTATAACAAAATAAATACAATTATTCTACAAAGCTAGGTCAGGCCCCTTTTATATACAATTATATATACATATATACACAAACATATATTACCATATATAGAGATTTAAAAGAATTGTATAATACCAATAGCTTCAACAAGATGTGATCAGTTCCAAGCAGAAAACACTTTCAAGCAGGTTCATAAAAAAATGGATGAATTATATACACTTAAATGATAAACATTATAATAATAGCATCAATATTTCTTAGATTACAATGGAATCAAGTATTAATTTCAACAGTTTTTCTACTGGGCCTCAAATTTTAAACAAAGGTAGCCTAATTTTGTCCCAATTACTAGCATATTATAGTCAGACAGGGAACCTCAGTAAATGTTATAGATTATTCTGATAGGGCTTTCACTACCAGTATATGATGAAAGTAACTTATAAAGAAAGAAGCATATTATAGTACTTTGTTTGTTTTAAACATAGTTTATTGTACTAAAACATAATTAAAGTACAAACGGATTGGGAGAAAAGTTACGAAAACTTACCGATGCCCTCTCCACAGTACTTTGTAAATACACAATCAATCTATGACATTTGACAATTGTAACTGACACATGCCCCCACCCCCCTTCCGATTTACAGATATGTTCTCTTAAAGAGTGCTGAATATACCTACAACATTTTGTCTTTTTATCTAAAACTTAAGGGTTGTTTTTATGTGCACGCCAATTTGTATACGGGACTTCAGTTCTCCGTCATATCAGAATAATAGACTGACCCCCGTCCTATACCACTAACAAGCGGAAACCACTCTGGGAAATCCCAAGGATCTTTCTCAGCCACACTGGGAGTGAAACCGAGACCTCCTGGTTAGCAAGCTCTACATGTATGTTGAAGACAGCGCTATGTAGTAATAATATTTAATTATAGTCCTGATTCGGAAAGGAATATAGCTTTAAATTATACTTTCTCCTCTAGTAAATAAAACAATAAAGGGAAAGTTGATACACAAAGTTGAAGATAAAAATTCCTCATCAAGTAATTCAGTTTATTAACCCACAGTTCTGTACAAATACCACAAGTAATATATAAGTTGAATCTACGACGTTTCGGTCACAGTGGCTCTTGGACCTAACCATTCCACCCCTGCATGTGAAACGTCAGTCCACTGTACAAGATTTACTTCAATTTGTTCAATGCACGATTTTAAAATACACACACACACAGTACATTGACACTTCTGCATAAAAAAACGTTGCAATCCACAGTATAAACGGCTGCTTGTAGTCTTTTAAGTCGAGACTCGGAACGTATAGAAGGTGCTCAGTCCACGACTAAAGTTCCAGTCAAATATAAGCGATAACATGTATACAAACACAAGAGCTGTGATAGGATATAACAATGTTCGTGTATTCTTTAAAAATGGTAAAGCTGAAAAAAAACAAAAATAGGAAACAAAAATTAATAGGATCCAGAAAGATTTGTGAAAATCGTTCAAGAACTGAAATATGAGAATGTATTTTTTTTATGTTTCTCAAGAATCAAATTAGTCCAGATTCCAGGACATAGCTCTAGTACTATCTTGCAAAAACACTCCAAATCTACAGACACCATCAACACCAATATTTTTTGACTAAGCCCAATCTATAAGTTATCTGCCACAAGCAATTTTGCGAACAATAAATTGACAGATGGTTCTTGGGTTGCCAATGCTGATCACGTTTTCACTGACTTGGGGGCTGCATTGTGTAGGATAAAAAGATTTTTCTGCCTGTGCACAACAAGAATAACACACTTTGATGATATTTGGCAACTCTATGCTGGCCAAAAAATTCTTGTCCGTTGCCATCGCAAGATGCACATGCAGTATATTTCTTCTAACAATATGGGGGTATTTAAAAATCAAAATATACCCGTTATATAGACTTTAGCATAATATTAGCTGATGGCCACACCATTGCATACAAGGGAGACAAGGTGGCTAAGTGAGTAAGACGCTGGCTCATCTGCCTGGAGGTCAAGGGTTTGCTAACGGTGTTGACTGAGAAAGTTCATCAGGATTTGCCGGTGTTATTTTACCTTGCCAGTTGTGTGGATGGGTAAAAAACTGAGGTTCCACGTACACAATGGCACGCAATTCAATATAAGAGTAGGCTGTAGCACGACTGTCTGACAAAATTTCCCTCATAGTACACTGCAAGGTGTATGCCTGTCTTCATTATCCCAGTCAGAGCAGAACAGTAGGAGTTAAACCCCATTTCATATCATTTCATTGCATACAATAATATTTTTAGTTATCAAATTGAATATTGAAAATAAAAGTAGAGATGTAACTTACCACTATAGCCGAGAAATGTGATATAGATATAATAACCTAATGCTATTAACCACAGGGAATTACCAAATAACCTCGGAAAGAAACCAGGCAGAGCAATACAATCTAAAAAAAACAAAATCAATATTCAGTCCACCAGGTCTCTCATTTAGATAATATTTGATAGTTTTGACTGACTGGCAGCATAAATATATGAATGGTTGGAGAATTTACCTGTACATATCATTAAAGGTATTTCAAAGAATTTAATGTTAAAACACAATAATTGCTCTTAGGTGCACCTACACCTCTCCCGTACACAAACGTATAAAAGCCTGCAAGCTTCTTTAGTCTCGGCACCGAAGGCTTCAAAATTTTATTAATTATATGAATATGATGATAAAATAATTGGTTCTTTAAAAAGCTTTCCAAGGGTTGCCAAAGGAATGAAATACAAGAAATTGAAAATTTTGGATCATTTGACATCCTCTGTTAACACTATCTAAAATTGTTGGGATGAAATCTTTAATCAAATTTAATCCAAGTCAGGAGATTATCTACCGCTGATACTTTGAGTATAATTTAGAGTGGATCGAAGTCTAGATGCGTGGTTGAAAACTGATTGTTATAAACAAGTACATATTAGCGTGGATTAAGTCATGACTTTAGCAAAAAATGCAAATGAAACAGGTTTCCTGTATGAAATCGTCACTGCGAGAGGACCGCACAACACACAACTAGACATTGCAAACAATAAACAACAAATATCAAATCAAGTGAATGGATCCTGGGGAACAGCCCTAAGCATCCATTGCACTGTACAATTAGTTGGATATTTTCTTTTTCATCCGAGTGAACTTAAAAGAGTTTGATAAAACACAAGAGAACTATCACCACAACTCAGATATATCATTTAGTTGTGCTGTTTTAGTGGGAGTTTCTGTATTTAGTGTTTATTTTCAAACCATTGTTGGCAAATTGTTCAAATTCGTTGACAAATATTGGGTTTGTTTCCTACTGTTGCATAGATTAAAATGGTCTGTTTAATTTCCAGAGTGAATTAATCTGTTAATTACTCAACATAGCTTGAGAAAGTAAAGAAGTTGTAAACTGGTTATCTAATCAAGATGAACCATTTAAATTATGCGACAGTAGGAAAGGAACCCAATTATATTTTTTAGGTTATAGTGTAATGAACCTATTTTAAGTCTAGGTTGGTTAACATTAACATTTATAGATCACAGAAATACGGTCAACTAGTGAAGACATGGGACTCAAAATAAAGGGAGTGCATTCTCTCATTAACATTTTCTTCATTGGCATGCACGCTTTAGATCATAAGGTCTATCATTAAGTCAAGTAGCATGGATATGAACTCACACTTCCACATGCCAAGGAGTAGGGTTGCCCGTCCAGCCTGGCGGGTTTTATCAAGATCCTCCGGAGAAAATCCATGAGATTGGACAGACGACCCCATTTCTTGTCACGTACAAGTGGGGAATTAAAACCATGCCACTTGACTCAAATTAGGAATGATAACGAAAAAGCTTTTATTCCCTGTAGTTATATCACCTAGGTTAATTTTAGAAACCAATATGTTAAATTACATACTGGTAATTACACTGTGTGTCACATCCTTTAAATTCAGTTAATGAACACAAGAAATCAATTAATATCAGCAAGACAACAACTATAAACTCTTAGATCAAAGCCGACTCAAGATTGTTTCATACTATGTAAACCTCATTTATTTAAGCTACAGACTCCATTTATTGCTGAACTCAAAGGAAGACAAGAACAGATTCAAGACTTGTTTATCAACTAGAGCTTTCGTATTTCCCAGTCTTGACTGATTGGAAGGAACAGATCAAAAACTCATTTATAAACCAGACATCAGATCCAGAGAAAACTGGGACCCCTCCTTTAAAGATCCAATATATGAGAGCTAAATCTGTATATTACAGGACATTTAATTATTGTCGCTTCAACTATTATTCAGACATTTATTCATATGACAAGCCCATGATCAACCCTCTGGATCATCTGATGGCTAGGAGTTTGAATGGATTAAAAGACAAGAATGGTTAATCAAAACTTTTGTTTATAATTGTAGCAATGGTACTTGACAATCAAGACTATATTGTGAAAACTTCAAACACTCAGAACTTCGTTCAGAATAAAGTAATTCAACCTGTATTTTCAAAATATTTATTTTTCATTATCAGCCAGATCTTTATCTAAATCTTACATAATGCATCTTTCTAACAAATACTTACACGTCAAAAAGAAGAGTTGAAATAAATGAAGAATCATTAAGAGAGGAAAGAAAGCGTTAAGATGAACATCAAACGCATAGCCCCATTCCACGTCTTGTCCTCTAGGTGGTGCCATTATCATATATTTATTTGTAATAAACCTGAAAATATGAAGAAGTAAAATATTATAAAATATCACCAATAGCCTGTTGAAAGAAAGCAGATTGGGTGACAAGTTGGTCTAATTAAGTTATAAGGTTTAAATACCAGATCTGGATGTGACAAGGAGTAGGGTTACCTTCCTAGCCTCGTGGGTTTCCTACCACTACTTGTAATTAATTATTATTACCCATTACATTGAACATAATTAATGGTTAAGTACCATTTCATTGAAAATAATTAATTACCATTGCATTGAAAATAATTAATTACCATTACCCATTTGCACTGAAAGTATTTAATTACCATTACCCATTACATTGAAAAATTAATTACCATTACCCAATACTAGGGTACCCAATATGTTGAAGTAATTAATTACCCATTACATTGAAAGTAATTAATTACTATTACCCATTACATAAAAAGTAAATACATTTACCCAATGTGTATTGAAGTAATTAATTACATGTACCAGTACCCAATATATTGAAAGCAATTACTTGCTATCACCCAATACATTGAAAGCAATTAATTACCATTACATTGATTTAAGTATTTAACCACAAATATCTTTTAATTTGTGACTATATGGAAAACAACCCCTTTTGAGGTCCTTTGACATAACCTGTGTTATACTTATAGACAGTCCGGATACAAGTCGGGAAGGGCTTCACCGTAACACTGATAACCCAATTCCACTTTTCATTTGCTTAACACTTAAAGATGGACTTTAACATCCAATTGACATAAACTAGGTCATTTTTATTTCAAAATAATTTGTTTGCAGTGGAAGGAAACCAGGCGACCTGAAGGAAACCCATGAGGTTGGACAGCTGATCTAACTCCTATTGTCACATACAAGCAGGGAATCGAAACCATGCCACTTGACTCAAGTCAATGACAGACCTTATTATTCAACATGCATGCTTTAAACCATTCAGCCACCCAACCCTGGTTCACTAAAGAATTAATGAAAATAGTGCTACTTTAAAATAGTGATAATGAATTATTGGTCAAGTGTCGTCTTTTGTGTCAATACAGCTTTCCACTGAGACTGTAAGACATTAGAAGAATTGAAGTGAAATCAGACATATAATTAATGTCTATATTCCCACCTTGAAGAAAGATGGATAGTGTTACCGCTGTTTGGCCGGAAACAGAGACTACATAATTTGTTTTGATTTTATTTGGTTATAAGTTCAGTATAAGTGTCTGGCATCGATTACAGGCTATCAACACTGTCGTCACTTTTCGTCAATTTTACATCAATTTCATTTCCTTTGTCTCCATCTTGCTAATATGTGTCAAAAACATTAAAAAGATTTCCTTCAATTAGTCGAACACAAGTTTTCCTATACAAGAGGACCAGGAGCTGTGCTTAAAGTATAGCAAGTGGACATTACTCTAATAAGGAAATGATATGGGGTTTCAGATCCTACTTCTCTGCATCAACCATGTAGTCTGTTATGAGGTGCACGTAAAAGATGCTTTGGCAGTTGTAATTGGAATCCCTCATAGCACACTGAAATGGGGTTTAACGTCTTACTGTTCTACACTGACAAGACTAGTGAAGACGGATATACGCCATACAGTGTGCCATGAGGGAAATTTTGTGCTGACAGACACTACGGCCTATTCTTATATCGAATTCCAAAAGCCAAGGGTTCTTTTATGTGCACGCCAATGTGTGCACGAGACCTCAGCTTTGAGTCCCATCCAAATGTTTTCCCTTGCCAGACCCTCTGGCAAATAGGGCTGGCGATTGATACCGATTCTACATTCCATATCGGCAACCATTTCGGCAATATCGATATATTGCAAAATTTGAAAGAAATAACTGTTTGTATGCTAATAATGTTATTGATCAAATTAAAAAAAACTATGATCCTCAAACTATGTTTTCTTAATGTTTGTTTCGTTTACAACTTATCTGATGGTGTTATTAACAAAATAGTATTCGTAGCTTCGCGCTCGCCATCAATCACTGTTGACAATTTTCCTTGGCCGCTTATAACAATAAATAAATTTCTATTAAAATCAAGTTATTTCCCTGAACAATTAATTAATTATTCATAGTCATTGTTGTAAATGAACGTGAAAAGTATTGGCCTGGTCGCGGTGGTACCTTGGTGTGTGTGTTTTTAGTTTTAGCATGTTTTGAATTATACGACGTTGATTATTTGACACCAAACATTCCATTAATTTCATCTTATTGAAGCTCCTTTATTTTTAATACGAGTATAATCGATATTAACAATTGAATATGAATATCGATATTTTCCTGTATTTGCTGACAATTATCGACTATATAGCGTTATTTTTCGCCAGGGGGGAAACACGCATGAAAATCCTGATGAACTTTCTTGGCCCACAACATGATTGAACACGAGACCTCCAAGTTAACAAGAAAATAAAACTAGTGATTATATTTCATATAGATAGTGTTGTGTTTATCTGCTCAATAAAAAGACACTGGTATCTAATATTGAAACTTTTAAAGTTATATCTTTTGTGTCAAGAGAGAAAAATGGAATTTAAAGTCCACTCCACACAAACTAGGTTTTTTTGGACAAGTGTATGATTCAATTTAATTTCAATAATATGCATGGACGTAGGGGTGCTTTAGCAGTGGGGTTAAACTGGAGAACCTGGCGAAAACTCATGAGGTTGGACAAGCGACCCGCCTCCTTGTCATGTACAAGCGGGAATCAAAACCACACCACCTGACTTAATGACAGATCTTATGATCTAAAGTGCATGCCTTAAACATTCAGCCCCTCAACACCCCAGATTGTCAATATTGGTTAGCATAGTATCTCCTTTAATACTCATGGCCTAAGACCTGATAAGGGAAGCAGCTTAGCATGGGTTTGTGGCCCAAAAGTGACATCAAATCTGTCTTACAGAATCTATGTGTGATTTTAGCGCTATAGAATCCCTTCTTAAATACAATATTGTGAAAGTTAAATCTCTAATATGAATAGCAGTTCAAAAATGGTTCAATTCTGTTGTCAAATGAAACTTTCATCGATCTATTTTGCTCCCTACGTAAGATCATCGCCATTTTGTTTTGACATGAACTAAATTGATGGAGCCAGGAGATTATCTAGCATTAGTGTTTTGATTTCTTAATTAAATATTAAATAATCAATTAAACAGCATATTTATTATTATTATTATTATTATTATTACAGCATATTTATAGTGCACCCTTTCATATAACATGTTCAGGGTCACTTTACAAAGTGACAATGTAAATCACACATAAACAACAAGATTATGGGCATGTTAACGATTGTATACAGAGTCAGTTAAAAGCCTGATTAAATAAATGTATTTTAAGTTGTTTTTTAAAAGAATATAGAGATGTACAACATCTTAAACTAAATGGTAGATTATTCCATAAAACAGGTGCTTGATAACTTTAGCGTGGATTAAACCATGAGAAATTGATATTTTCCGGAAAAATGCAGTATTTATTTCAAAACTTTTTTACAATTTAAAGGCATAAAGAATAGAATACACAAACAAACCAAATTGTTTCTTGTCAATCTGATTAAGACACAGTTCGTATTTGGATGTTATATAAACTGCATTCTGGTTGATGTGAGGGATTAGCCAATTAAATTATCTATTGTAGAGTGGCCCACAGCTTCTATTATCTGTACTATATAAACTGACCTGTTTTAACAGCATGTTGTCACGCGGATCAAAACTTCGATTATGAGAAAAGTGCTCTCACAGGCTCGCTCATGCACTGTAAGCAGCAAACAGTCGCCCAAAATAGACATTCACGTGACAATATTCATTCACTTATTTATCAATGAAGCCATGTAAAAAAATTATTTTTTAGGGAAGTTAGGGAACCAAAACTAGAAATGCCCGAAAAAATTTCAGGTTTACAGACAGCGGCGCCCATTTTCTTCGAGAGGCGAAGAACCGGAGCTGACCTTGTCTGGACCCCCCAAAATTTTTTGGAATACTTGACGGCCGCAAGTGCGTTTTAGTGCTATTCCAGCCCGTAAAATTAGTGTTTTATTAGATTTCGGGAACTTTATTTTGCCAAATAGATGAAATAATTTTTTTTTTTTCACTTTACCCGTCTGCCCCAAAATTCAGCTTGCCCCCCCCCCCCCCCCCCTCAGGCCTATGATAATTATTAAAAATATTAAAACGCGACACGATGCTTAAATTGTGAGTCTTACTTTCGAGAACATTAGCTATAAAACAGAAATTTCCAGATTGATACATAATATGACACAACCAACCATAAGTGGTTATTCAAACACAAAGGATATATTTAAACTTAAATTTCTCTAACATTTCACTAAAAGATCCCTATTGCAGAACTCCCAACTTATTATGTAGTCACTGTCATGCCGGTTGTTTTTAATAACAGAATTTTCCAGTCATATAACAGATCAAAGAATTTTTCGAGACGCATTGTCACATATCGACTTCTATTTTTGGATTATCTGGCGCCACACATAGCCCAATCATATCAAAAAGCATGCAATTCCACCTTGAAATGGGTTCAATTGATTTACGGTTTATTCTATAATTTATAACACGGTTTAGAGCACAATGTGTAGGAGTCGCATTTTTTACTTCTAAGTAGATTCTTATAGGGAATTCCGGATGCAATGCTAGACATTTGGACCACTGCTGCCGAACCGATTTGAAAATCCTTAAGGCTTTTTTTTCTTTGCGCATGTCGTGTGCTCCTCTGTTTTTGATGTGTATGATTTTTATTTTTGTGATAATTATTTGAAACAAAATAGGATTATCATAAAGGATATTTAACATCTACAATATGAGTACGGTTAGCACTCTCTACGTACTGCGTTTGTAAACCACGAAATTCACCCCTTATTAGAAAGTTTCAACTATAGTCTATTGCATGTAAACGTTAAAAAAATCAGCTAAAAAAATCAGCTCGAAATACAGACGACATCTCTCTCTCTCTCTCTCTCTCTCTCTCTCTCTCTCTCTCTCTCTCTCTCTCTCTCAGGGCTGCACACGCATACAAATGTTAAAGTCAATCGTTAAATGTACGTACCTAAAAAAACGAAGAAAGCCGACTGCGGAAAATAAGAATTCGTTTTCCAGAACAAAAGTTGAAACTTTGATGTGATCAAGAAACATAACTCTTTTTAATGAAAAAATCTACCGCTGTAACGCTACTTGGGCGATCAACTTTTCCATATAATTAGAAAGTCCCATTCAAATGGCCAAATCACACAAATATCCAACTTAGCAATAGTTTAATTGTTAACGAATGATGATTTTAATGGTAAGTCTTATCATATTTGTTAAAATAAGCCCCAAATATAGCTGGTTTATTTGATTTTTGTTATTTGCACGAACCACTCTATCTATTGAATGGAAGTGTGGTTAGACATTCGCAGCAAGACAAAGCAAAATTGAAAGTTGTATTTCAAAATATCCATTTCAAACATTAAAGCCATTTGGCTAATCAAATATCCGATGTCATACTGACTCATTGGTCAAAAGCCATTCATATAGCCCCTGACGTGACTCCCCACTACAACTGGTCAGATCTTCTTGATTTGTGAGTTAAATATAGTTGTGTACAGTTAAAAAATATCAATGTTCACACATTAAGTCTAAAATAAATTGGTAAAAGCAGACAAAAGAGTATTGAAATAAATGCAGCTTCTACAAATTAACCAAATTAATGTTACCACTGCACACAACCTTTTGTTATTTGGATAGTAATATGACCCAAGGGAGATAATCTAGTAAAGAATACTTACCAGAAGAAAGTTGCAATGACGATTCCAACACCAATACAGTCAACAAATATAACCCATAATATAAACTTAACAAAAGCTAAGAAGGTCAACTTTAATACCACTGCAAAACCAACTGATGATACTGAAACAAAAAACAATAAACTCAAATATAATGCTACCATAAATAACTTGATGTACATGTAGTATCCAGGTGGATCAGATGACATGCTCTGATGCATTCTCATACTTTAAACAAAACTGTTAGCCTTATTTTCACTAAAATATAGCCCTTTATATCAAATACATCAATGTAAATCCTTAACTTAAAGATAAATTATTTAAGATTTAGATAAAGAGATAGCCATTCTTGCTATAATAGTTTGAAAATAGATAATGCAAAATGAATATATAGAAAATTTCATTCAAATTACTCTACTGCTAGCAAAGATATTAGTCTATGAAGGTTTGATAAGATGTGTGCATTAATTGTAACCACCATACTGGTTGTTCTAAGCTAAGCCTCACTTCTCGATCTTTAAATTAAATCAAAATATGACTGAACCGTTCTAATCTACTTAATGTTGGAGATATCTGATGACATTGAGAGTTGATTATGCTCTTGTAATTTTAATAAATGTCTAATTAATAGTTTATATAACATTTCAGGCCTATAACAGTATGGTCTAATTAATGCTTTCATTTTCAAATGAATTCTTGCTGTTTAGCTGACGGTGTCCTAATCCTATAGAGTGACTATAGACAGACATCAATGATAGCATCTTGTGGAATCGGCGGCGTAAACACTCGTGCCCATCACTGACGCGCATGAGTGCAACTTGATGTAGCATTGTTTCATGTGTGGACAGTACACCGTACAAGTTACAAGGCTTAAATAGTTAAGTGGCTAGGGAATAGATTTGTCTTTTTTCCTATCATCATAATGCCTCGCTCGCCTTGACAATTTTTGAGTCGCATGTTCAACTGGCTTTTTTGCTCGATTTTAAGGCTCTTTTTCAACGATTTCCAAACATTTCCTTAGACGAAAATATCAGTCAAACAGCTCTTGGAATTGCTACAGATGCAAGGAAATGGCGGATAATCTTCTGGGGGGGCCACCCCGGCCCTCTCAGAGGTGTGCCCTCATTTTGCAGTGCCCCCCCCCCTTTCAAAATTCCTAGATCCGCCCCTGCAACTGATAAGGAGAAACTAAACTGGAAAAACTAGAGGAAAATGTACTTTATCCGCGCGAAACCTGGTTAGTGAGTCAATGCCTTACTCACTGAGTCACCATGGCTCTCAGATGGATTAGAAGTTCTAGAGAAGAGAGCAGCAGGCATACATCCAATTCTAGTTAAAGAGCTACACTGGCTAACAAATTAAATTGAAGCAAAAAGTGCACCTTTCAAACTTGGGTGCAAAACATGCCGTTCTTAAAGAGTAAATCGTACACAGACTTTAGCCGTTATCACACAGCACTGGTAGAGCGACTTCACAGTGATGTAGTGGCATTACCCCTGCATGGCTGCAAGTGATTTCTGCCGTCAGTTGCCGCAAAAGGCTACGTTATTCATAGAAATAAAATATTTATGGCAAAGTATTGAATATTTTCAAAAAACAATGTGGTGTTTATGACGCTTCGCGGTACATTTACGACAACCAACCACGCCCTGTGCTACCTTGGTCTTACATAACTGTACACTTACATACGTAAATACCTACACGACATGTACATGGCACAAGAATAGTGACACACTCGTGTAAACCAGGCTTTTGTTTTTCTAGCTAAAAAATATACTTACCAACCAACCAGAAACTGAGAAGAACTAAAAATGCTGGATCATCTCTAGCCCACTGATCTTTTGTGTCTAAAATAAATAATTCATATTCAAAATAATTCATGGACATTAGACCTTGTATAACAAGAAAGATTCCGGTGCGGGGGTGGGGGTGGGGGGGGGGAGAGGAATAGTAAATAGAAGCCTATAACGCGAGGGCAAGGATAGCGTCTAGTCATTTGGATGGGACTGAAAACAGAGGTTCAGATATAAGAGTTGGTCAAAGTGCTTCTCTACGAGCAAAATTTTGTCCTTCGTAGCACACTGTTTGACGTACACCCATCTTCATTAGCCCAGTCGGTTCCGAAAAGTAGGACTTTTAACCCCATTTCATTTCATTTCGGTTACAGTTAGGGGTAGGTAACTCTAACCTGCGGTCTGGATTCTCAACCAGGGCTATAGAGTAAAATCACTGAATAACAATTTGTTTGGAAACTTTCAATTCTTGCTAATCAATAATAATGTTGTTTTGAAAAATAAATGCTGATGTGATTACCAGTTAAATAGAACAATGAGCATGTATAATGAAAACTCCTTACGTTTTCTGTACTGAAAGTTTCGATACCTGTAAATAAAGAAGAAAAATAATTACAACACGAAAGAAGTTGAATGGCTGTACACATCAATATTCGAGATTAACACAAAGCCCGGTTATTTTATTTACTACATTTATGATTTGGCCAGGGCAGCAACTTTGCTGCATTTAAAGTCAGGGGAATATAAGCTAAGCTTACATGTATGTAAACCAACCAACACTTACCCATAGATGGCAATCGTTTGTTTACAGGATGCCATATGTCAGGAATGCTACTTCGTCAATATATTCCTGACATGTCAAAAGGGCCTATGCTGATGAATTTTCAATTCATCATAATAATCAGAAATGAAACTCTTTAGGTCTGATATTCAACTTTCACAAGATTGTAGTTTGTAATTGGTTAAAAAAAAACAACCTAAAACTAAAACGATGATCAGCAACTTTTACAAAGCTGATTGGTTTTGGCAACAGGAAATACAGTTTCTCGATAGTCTGGAGTATGTTTTCCAATCAATCAATGGTTATAAATTTAGTATCTCAACTTTCAATCATATGGGGGGGGGGGGGGTTGGATGGCCGAATGGTTAGCACGTGCGTGCTGTATCATACGACCTGTCATTGAGTCAACTGGCGCGGTTTTGAATCCCCGGTTGTACGTGACAAGGAGTAGGGAAGCCTGTCCAATCTCGTGGGTTTTCTCCGGGTCCTCCGGTTTCCTCCCACTGCTAAAGACCCCTACGTGCAAGCGAATTATTGAAATAAAATTAAACCATATGTTAGTCCCGAAATGACCTAGTTTGAGTCGAGTGGACGTTAAACCCTATTTCTCTCTCTCTCTTTCAATCATATGTTACAGTAACAACAAACCAGTATGGTACTTACACTTTTTGGGGAGACACAAATAAATATATCATCTGCCAAAAAGCATATTCAAAATCCATCTGCTTGAATCTCAAAAGTCTTTTAAAATATTTTTGTCTTTTTGACGTTGCTGTAAGTCTAGCATCTTGTTTACTGCTTCCATTCATTGATGAAAGAGGCGACATGATCGACGAACCTGTCGGTGACACAGGGGGAGATAACTTCCCATATTTTGACATCTTAACTGTCCAATAACTTTAACAGATAAAGTTAACTGATAATTTCTTCTGTAAATTAAAAAATAAGTTACATTATTATTCAAATATTAAAAGATATAAAATAAATAGGCTCCAATTTATTAGTACTGTAACCTTATCTAAAATGCTGTGGATATTCATCAGACCCCTCAAAAATCGTGTTGTTTGGTTAGCATTATGTTCATCATGCCTTGAGTCTAGTTGGTGCTCTCTCGAGTTAAAAAATAAATACCAGTCCATGTGGATTATCATCAAAGAGAGCCCTGATGGTCCCTGATGCACATCAACCATAACAAATCCTAACCTATTTCTCATGCAACTAAAAAATCTGTTTCCTCTAGGCCTAAGAAGTTTAAATACAATAATAGTCTTAATCAGTTAATGTCTAATCATTTTTTTTTTTATGACTTGACTAAACAGAACGAAAACACAAAACAAAAAGCAGTCCACTTATTCTGCTACCTACACGTCGTCAAGATTCACAACTCTAGGCTATTACTCACTTGCCACTTGCCTAATCAGTTTGTTTTACTAATGACTTGACTACCCAAGATGAAAAACAAAACAAAAGTAGTTTTTCTCTTCCACGTCGTCAAGATTCACAACTCCCTTAACTCACGTCGGATCTTGTTTTAAAAGATTATTGATGCGGTCATTGTTAATTTTCACCGTGTATTATTTCGTGTAAGAAAATAACAGTGAGCGACAGTGCTAGTTATTATTACAAACAAACCTAAAAGTCCTCCAATTTCTCCTGTTTTTTCACATTGATAAAACAAATTACGTGAAAGTTTCTCAGAAACCGGAAGTTGACATATTAGTATTTTTAATACGCATGCTTACATGTCGATGTAAAATTTGTACTTGGTGGCTTCACATGAAACGAAATACCCAGAGTGCGCTCCCAACATTGATCGACACAGCAGTGAATTTTTGCCAGGCCGCTGATTAGATGTATAATTAGACCACCTGCAGATTTCGTCTAATCCACAATCTTTAGCAACAATCTTTAGCAACAATCACGTGTCGTAACACAATTGGAGTGCACGTTGAGAACACTTATTTATGACATTGATATAACAGTTAATCGTAGTGCCGCTGTTCGGGCAAAATTTCCCTCATAGAAAACTGCATGGTATATGTCTGTTTAATCCAATTTCATTTTTATAGTCCAGTTGGTGCAGAAAAGTAGGACGTATCACTTGATTGCAATTCTGTCAATTCGGGACGTTCCGGACAGACAATCGAGTACCCCCATCTTCAGCCACACATGGACCTAATGCCTATAGGACCCACTGGGCATTTTTTTCCTCAGGGATCTACTACCGATGGAAATTGATAATCCTCGGGAGGCGCCGGGAACAGGTTCCCCTGTGTCCCAGTAAATCTTCGGGGGCGTCGGGAACCATGTGGAACCATCGGGGGCCTCCGGAGAGCTGCCAAAAATTTAAATGTAATTTCAGTTGGGAAAGCAGACCGGAGAGGCATCCCCGGAGCTTTCCAGATCCACAGGGAAGCTCCGGGGTGCTAATCCTTGGAGCTTCCGCGAAATATTTTTTCCCCAGGCATCTCCGAAGCTTTCCCGATTATTGGGATCCTTCCCCAATAATTCTCAGCAAATGTTCGGGGGACATTCCCGGAACCCTTGTGACCACTGACGAAGCATCAGCGAACGTTCATCGGACCATCCCCAATGCCTAATAAGTACCATTTCTCATGGGACTCCGTTTTTGGGGCAAAAACATCGGGAGAAAATTTGTTTATTTCAACATCGCCGATGATTTTTCCCAATGGGACCTAGGCATTATATAAGATCCATGCTTCCGTCCAGCGCAAATTCAACAACCCTTTTTATACGCCCACATTTTCATGTGAACGTATTATGCCGTCGCCCCTGACCGTCCGGAAGTCCGTCCGTCCTTCCACAATTTGTTTTTTCACACTCGACAGGTCACAATTTTTATCCGATTTTGACGAAACTTAAAATATAGGTGTATCTCCCAAAGATCTCGATTCCTTTCGATATTGGCATGTATCGGACCATAACTTCATGGATTATGACCCCTGATTGTACGAAAAATCACGTTTTTAGCTTAAGGACACGCTAGAGGTCACAATTTAACCCGATTTTGACGAAACTTTAAATGCATGTTTATAACCCAAAGATCTTGGTTCCTTTCGATATTCGCGCATATCGGACCGTAACTTCCTGAATTATGGCCCCTCGTTGTACGAAAAATCGCGTTTTTAGCTTGTGGTCCCTCCAGAGGTCACAATTATTATACGAATTAAAAAAAAAAGTTCAATATATCACCGTTACACCATTATGTTGGTTGAGTTCGAATTTCGTGAAAATCGGACTAAAACTGCCGGGCAAAATGGCCGCCCCTCGTTCGCAAATAGTGTAAACATCTGGTATATCAAGGTTGTGGACCCTCTAGAGGTCACAATGTTGATCCGATTTTGGAGAAACTTGAAATACCTGTTTATAACACAAAGGTCTTGGTTCCTTTCGATATTCGCGCGTATCGTATCTTGAATTATTGCCCTTGATTGTACAAAAAATCATATTTTTAGCTTGTGGCCCCTTTAGGTGAATATTACCGTTACACACTAAGATCTTGGTTCCTTTTGATAATCGCGCATATCCGAACGTAACTGGATTATGGCCTGGATTATGGCCCCCGATTGTTCGAAAAATCGCATTTTTAGCTTTAGGATTCTCTAGAGGTCACAATTTATTTTCCGATTTTAAAAACCGTTTAAATATATCACCATTCCACCATAATGAAGGTTTAATTCGAATATCGGGAAAACTCAAATGAAACTGCCTAACAAAATGGCCGCTCTTTTTACGCAAATTGTGTAAATGTATGTAATACAAAGGTTGTGGACCCTCCACAGAAGACAATAGATAACAGGACGAGACATGAGATAACAGGTGCAAAGAATAAAGAAGTGCCAGTAGACATTGACAAACAGACGAATTTGTGACTAAACAGATATGGCTATGGACTAACATTTAGATAAGGACAAACATTTGCAGACATGCACGCAATACGGACATTTGACAAAACAAACATAAGTTTGGACGAACATTTAGACATAGTATGTACATATATATATGGGTCGTTTTCGTCGGTCTGGTCGATTTGTCCGGTTGAATGGCAGGGCGGCGCAACTCTTCCTTGGGGCTTGTTGGTGAGTGTAAGGCCCGGACCATTCTTCCCTCCATTTGGTTTTGTTGTTCGGGTTGGTGGTTGATTTCGTCTTTATTTTTGTTGTTCATTCCTTTGTTGTTGGTTCTCTGAAGGAAGAATCCAGCAAGCAACAATTCAAAGCACATTTCTAAACAAAGCGTTGGAACAGATAAGTCTTCAATGATGATTTGAAAATTGATAGGGTTGGACACTGTTTCAAATGATTCGGCAGATTATTCCAATGTGAAGCTGCCAGATATGAAAATGATTTTGCTCCAAAAGTTTTTAAATTGTACGTTGGTAACTGTAACTGAAAGTTATTTTTTGATCTTAGGTTCCTAGAGGGTAAATGTTCCTGGACAAGTTCCTGGAGGTACACAGGTGCTATTTTATGAACTGCCTGATATATTAAACACAGTAATTTGAATTCAATGCGTTCATTTATGCGAAGCCAATGAAGAGAGGATAAAACAGGTGAAATGTGGTCGCGAACTTTTGTTCGTGAAACAATTCTTGCCGCTGAATTTTGTATCCTTTGAAGTCGATTTTGTTGCTCTTTCGTAATACCAGATAATAGACCATTGCAATAGTCTAGTCAAGATAGAATAAGACATCAGACCAGAGTTGTTGCAGCATCTGCTGTTATGAAATGACGCATCGAACCAATGTTTCGAATGTGATAATGACATGTTTTGCAAAGGAAATTGATCTGATTTTCCATTGATAGATCATTTTCCATGATATGGAACTTGAAAGGTTGATGTTAGAATTTTCAATTTTCAAATATGTAATGTTACTCTTCTTTAATCTTCTTGGAGGGGCAACCAATAACACTTCTGTTTTGTCTGAATTAAGTTTGAGCATATTGTTAGTCATCCAACTTTTCACTTCAGTTACACATGATTCCATGTATATATTGTCTTATTATATTTTCATATTTTATCATTGCTTGATAAAGACTAGAGAAGCCTAGTCGAAACATCGCTCAATAATAATTGTATTCCATAGAATTGTGACCTGTAGTATTTTGAAAGTTCACAAAAAGGCTACTAACTCGTTTTTTCTTGCCGAACTATAGGCAGATTTCCTCTTTTCATTCATTAATGTCATTAGCTGTGTCATAGATGACGACTAATAAATTATAAATGCTCCTGTCAAATCCAAATTATACTAGAGAAAACGAGGATGGGTAAAATATTTACCGCCACAAAAAAAAAATGAAAATTTTAATATAGAATTTTTTGTACTCTTATTTAAAACCCGATTATATGACCAGCATCTATAAATATTCATATGAAATCGAAATTCAAAACATGATTTTATTATAATATTAGGAATTCATATAATAGAAAAAAATATTTGTGTACTGAAGAAGGATGGAAGGAATGCACTCAGTGAATTTAGACGTAGTGCACATAAACTGGAAGTTTAAAACGGAAGATATTACAGTAATTCCTTTATTCCCACAGTAACTCCTTCATTCCTCGTAATGAGAGATTATGTAAAAACTGTAACCTTTAGTTATACATTTCTTATTATATTGTCCATTTTATGCATATGATAATTTGAGACAACAATATCTCTTTCAATTCAACTTAATACACTAAGAGTGTGTTGACTGTTGAGAATGTTGGACGTTTTGTACTGAATGCCTTTAAAAAGGAGGAATATAAATATAGCCTAGCTAGGTGATATGTGACATTAGATATTGACGATTATTTACATTTACATTTTCTGTATGTCATAAAATTGTCTTAAGTGACCCATGTGTACCAATGTTATTTGTGTAAGATTTTCAATCAGATATTGTGATGCACCACAATGTGAAATGTTTGTTGTAACTTCCATACTCATGCTTGTACCGAGGATAAGGGGTGTGTCTTTTCACCGCTCACAACTGCCGACATCCGCCGATTCCTTTTAATTCCTTTAAAACTCTACTCTAATAATAAGTGCAGGAGGACCGCACCACGCGCAAAACAAAATCTACAAGACAAACCTGCGGACAAGACAAACTACATAGATCACAAGAAATAAACAAATATAAAATCAACTGAATGGGTCCGTGGGCAAGTCGTAAGCGTACACTGCGCTGTACAGCCGAGGGCGTGTAATGGATAGGCTTTACTCAAAATGAAAAACAAATGATTACAAAATTACTCTTATATATCGAATGCCAACTGCCAAGGGATCGTTTCTGTGCACGCCAATGTGTACATGGGACCTCGGTTTTTCATCCCACTCCAACGGCTAGACGATGTTCTTGTCAGGCATTCCGTCCTACACCACTGACAAGGGGAAACCACGCCGAAAATCCCAAAGAACGTTCTCGACCAACACCTGGAGTGAACCCCAGACTTCCAGGCTAGCGAACCAGCGTCTTACTCACTGCGCCACCGCGGTTCCAATTTAGTTTAAAACAAATACCAAGATGATAGAGAAATACGTTTATTTCAACCATGCATTTATAATCATATTGCTAATAATAAAAAAATATAAACAGTTTAACATATGATTTAACAATTAATAAGAACTATCCTTATATTCATACAAGTTTCTTCTATTACAGGAATATATTCAACGTATTCTCAGGGTCGGATTAAGGCATGGCTATTAGGGCTTCAGTCTATGGGCTTTCGTTAGCCGGGTGCCTCCAAAGAATAAGTCAACAATTATTTCATTTGTAAATGCTGAATAAAAGTATTCTGAATTATCCATTTAAAATGAAATTCAATTAATATACTACGTAAAAAGTAACGGAGAGTGGGTAAAACATTTCGCGAGGACCTCACAGTACTTGTAGCCCATGGCCCTACAGTATCTTAATCTGGCTCTTCGCTGTGCAATCTGAGAAGACAAGATGATTCTAGCCGTGTTAAAACACCGCCGAGTCACGTTTCTTGTTTTACCTATATACTAAACATAGATGTTTCCCTGTACATACATGCTTCTACCTTTTCATAAGTGCCTTGTAGACAATGATGGTTGTGAATAATTCGGGTTCTGTAGTCAGCATTAAACAGGTGAATACATGTATACATATATTATACATGTATACTATATTGTGAAAGAGGTATATTAAGAATGGTACGGCAAGAATGCAGAGAATTTGCTTTTGGCCATGGAACTCGTCCAAACGCTACTCGCCTTGTTGTTCTTTTTTGGGAGAGAACCTCTTCGATAAACAAAAAAGCCGAAGACTCCGCCAGGTCATATACGATCGACATGATGCTTGGACAATCGGGATCGATTGGCGGACTTCGATTTTTTATATGACGTCACAATTCCAAGATGGTAGCGTTGACGGTATGTTCGGTTCCTGGTCCATATAGTATTAGCATACTTGTTTTAAGAGGTAAGAAAAATGGGGAAGAAATTTAATAATATACATCTTGTATAACAAATAAAATATCAGAATATAACTTGCCATACATTATATTAGCCTGTTTTATTACTGTATAATCTTTAAAAATATTTTGTAATAAAAAATATAAACAATTCATCAATAACATTTGAATTTTTGTTATTTCAAATTCTACAGAATAAACCTTCTATATAAATATTTATATTATGTTTATATAAAGTTTATACCTTGCCATTTTTTTATTTCTTTTTTTTTTACGAAACGAAATTAATGTTGTCGTTATATGCATCATTGAATAAATATTGTTTGTTTCTTTGTATAATCGTACAATAAAAAACAAAATTGCATACTACTATTATTACTTAATTAATGGAAAATAAAGGTGTCCATTGAAAACGCCAGTCTGAAAATAAACGCCGGATTGTCTCCCCTTTGACCGTAAATTACCTTTCAGATTCATTCTGCTTTCTGGGTAAATCTGCATAGATTTAAACATGTCCGTTTTACTGGCCCGCAATATTGTCATTTTTTTTTCAACTGTTTTTCGATGTTTAGATATAAAAGAACTATTAAATAACCGAGCTAAATAAACATGTACGTTCACATTTTATACTTTTACAAGTAAATATATATTATGTATAAAATAAATGAAACTTTATATTAGCTATATATATAACATGATTTGAAAACAAGGAATAAAACAAGATAATATCATAATATAATCTATTAACAGGCATTATATACACATAGATCTTATATACAATTCATAATTAACAATATATAAGACATCATAAGCATTCATAAGCATGGTACGTATATAGGCCTATAATATAATAGCTTATACTTATCGGTTGTAAGTCACGCGTGGTAATATGGTTGTAGCAGATTATCTAATTAAACAATGTGTAATTATTTATAAAACTATCTAATTAGACACTATTTATTTCAACACCATGTATCAAACTATTCTAATACAATATACTTTAAAGGGATAAAATTTAAATATCCATTTTGCACGTTTAAAGGGACAACATATTCAGATAAGTTTATCTAATTAAATGAATTCAAATGGGATTTATTTAGAGTCCTTCTTTTTAGATAAGTTTATTTTATAAAAACCACCCCGTCCTGGTATTTTACATAATTACATTTTAATACAAAGTATGTATTTCTAATTTAATTCTTTTTATCTGTTATCTGGTTTGTGATCCCTTTATGACATGCAATACAGTTTATATATACACGTATTGTGATCTATGGAGTGGAATGGAAGACATAATTCTACATATTCATTTTACCGTCTGTAAGAAAGAAGTTACAAGCATTGAAGACATTTGAACTAAGCACATTGGCACATTAATAGGTTATGGGTAAGAATTTTTCAGTTCCACTCCACACGCACATGTAGGTTAAGCGCTAGGAGTGTCGTAGATTCCACTCCATACGCACTACACGGTTAAGAGATGCAGTGTCTTGAATAAGCATTACTAGGTTAAGCGCTAGAGTGTTGTGGATTCCGCTCCAAACGCATTATTAGCTTCTACGTTAGAGTGTCGTGGATTCCATTCCGTACGTATTACTAGGTTAAGACTTAGAATTATGTCGTTAATTTAGCTCCATAGTTAACGCCATATAAACATACATATTTTATATATTATCATAATCTATGAAAGACGGCAGTAGAATTTATATAGAATACAACAATCATGTACAAAGAGGAAGAATTTAGAATAACTAATTTTCTTTCTTGAATAAATACAATGTCGGCATGTCTAAGAACTGAAACATATAAAAAAAACCCATTTAATTGCTGTTCTACTATTATCATAGCTATTATACTTGGTCCATAATAATATCAGGCCTAACATAATAGGCCTATGTAGACGAATTAGGTTCCCTTCTGCCTAAGCCTTGTGTTACAACGTAGCTCTACTACTAATATAATAATATTATTATTCTAAATTAATATTTCGTTTTGAAACTTCCGAAATAAGGCACTATTTTGGAAAATATACCATCCTTCGCTTTGCCTTCGAATTGTGTCGTTTCATAATATTTTGAGGAAATGAGGCCATCACCCACCCCTTTCACTGGTCACTACGTCGGGTTTGAGAAATATCCGAAAATAGACCACGAATATGCCGTGTGATATTTCTGCTCCTTCGGTCATTATTCACTGACATTATCTCGTGTAATCGTGCTTGTCTTTAACATAGCCTCTAGAAATCATTCTCCCTGAAAGTTCTTTTGATAAAAGAGCCTGCCATTTCGTTCAGGCGTGTTTAGTAAAGCCGACCGGAACGCACGTATATGTTACAATTAATTTAAGCTTATTAGTTCCGTTCGTAGGCCCCGGGATCACATTTGACGTACGGCCATTATTACCACCTGTAAGATCAGGCATTATTATTAATAGTGTGTACATAACCCCTAAAGCCATATATACACAACACGACCCGAGGTAACACGAGGCCATTTAGACCCCTAAGGCCACGTACACACGACCTGAGACGACACGAGGCTATTATTCATTAGTGCAATGGGGAGTAATTCAGTTACATAAATACATAAATAACGGCTATGTTACTCATTTACAAAAGATGTCTAAATTAGAATGCACTTTAAACGCGCGAAACATGGAGTTCTACAATTCAGACTCCGTGTTCGATCATATGACACGATGTACCGTGTATCATTGTTTCGCGAAATGTATCTTATATAATATCATAATATAGCACTGGTTATGAACTGCTCTCTCTCAATAAACAGGCCACAGTTTCGCTAAATAGATGTTTTCACATTTCAGTACATGAAGTCAATTTCTTCTGAAGCCGGAAGTTGTCCCTGTCCCTGAAGTTGTTTCGTCTCCACACTCATTTCGTCATGGTCGCCTTCACCTTCCGCTACATCGAGAATCTCCGTAAAAAGTTTCAGAGTTTGCATGCTATTTAGAACTTTTTCGTGTTCACCAGTTCTTGAATTTCGTCTATAGGAGAAACCATCTTCAATAGCACCCATTGGTCCAGACGTTTCCATCACGTGCTGATAAAGACGCCTGCGCTGATCGTTTGCGAAAAGATCTATCTCTATTTGACGAGTAACAATGGCGGCACTTTTTCTCCAAACATTAAACTCGTAGTCAATCGGGACGATTCGTTCAGCGTTCACAGTAATTATCACTATGGCCTTTCCGTCCCTTAAAGTTAGGTCCACATTCTCACTAACGGAATCGAAATTTTTTGTGTCGTTGGAAGAGGAAGGGGTTCCGTCTGCGTTTATGAATTCAATATCTCCAAATATTTCTTCGTTGGTGTGTTTCACATCGATATTTTGACGAATATCTTTTGAATCAATCTTCTCTAGTTTCGATAACAACAGTTGACTCAGATTCTGTTTCTTCTGAGGAATTGTTGAAACTGAAAGTAGAAAATTAATAATTTCTGATAAACATGGGCAAAATGGGTAAAATGTGTGGGGTACTTGTTATATAAACGAATTGACTTAATCCTTCAATTTAACAAAGTAGTCAGTTTCTGGGAATCTAGATGTTCCCATCGAAAACAGGAAGCATGAACGAATCTACGAGTTCTGTTATCAGTTTTATGTGCAGTGTCGCTTTCCAGACTTCATGGGTTTAAAGACAATGCACACAAGCCAATTATTGAAATAAAGCAGTACCATGTGTTAGTTCAGAAATAACACAATGTTGTTGAGCAGAGGTTAAACTAAAGCGATATATCAAATATACGAAAGCCCAGAAGGCTCATTCCAAATTCCAAATGCGAAATTCCAAATTCATGTCTTACCAATAAAATAGCAAATTGGCAGCCCCCTCAATTAAAAAAATTAGAATTTAAATAAATTGTAATTTTACACAAATAATTAGTGCTAGTTTACCTATCTGATGCCTGGGCCGGATAAACACCCGTCCCAAATTACTAGATTCGACATAATCACGTGACATTACAATCATCATGGCTGCTCCAGAGGGAATAAGTGTCGCCGATGCGGCGGATTTGACCTATACATTCAATAGCCGTGGAACTTTTACACTTGAGGAACTGAGTTAGTGATCAAGTACTACTACTGATAGCAACCGATCCCGAAACTATTCACATCTGCCGAAGCAAACCTCCGATCAGATTTGGAATTTCGCCTCTGGAATTTGGGATTTGGAATTTGGAATTTGGAATGAGCCTTCTGGGCTTTCGTACAAATATGCTAGTTCTTAGATTCTCCCTGGATCCGTTAGTACAGAAATGATCCGTTATGTGTCGACTAGACGTCTATCGCCCCCCCCCCCCCCTCTCTCTCTCTCTCTCTCTCTCTCTCTCTTTAGTCTGGCATAACTGTATGATCGTGACCATCTAATAATAACATTTCGTCCTAACGATATCGCGTATATGACTCATTTTGTTTTCATTCGTAGCATTTAGCTTCAATATAAACATTATATTATATAATAAAAATATACAGATAATTTATTCTAAACCACACAATACACGATATGCCTCGTTAAATATTTAATGGCTTAAGAAATATGTTATTTTTCTCCGGTAATACAGTTACCTGAAAAGTTTCTTTGTTTTTTTGTTGTTTTTTTTTTGTTTTGTTTTTTTTTTTTGTTTCTCTGTAAACATGTAGCTTAATAATTATATCAAAGAAGTTTGTCATAACTACTTTTCAAAGAAGAACTAATAATGTTAAAAAGTTTATTAGTAATTTTGTTTTTCAGTGATATATCTATAAGAAGGTTCATATCCGAAGCTACTATACATGTATATAGTTACCTTAATATTATCAAAGTTATGTTGTCAAAATAATTTTTCAAAGGTGGATTAAAAATGTTTAAACGTTTGTTAGTAGAAACTTTAATCGTTTACATCATTTAGTTATGTCGAATCCACGTGTAGGCGAAGTATGGAATGTGGATGAAAACCTGTTCTTTACCTGTATACAAGTTGACTGTGTATTTAATGATATACGACATAGATTTATAAATATATATACATTCTATATACCATATAAGTACAAGTTTTGACGTGAGGCTAGCCGGTTTAATTTAGTTTTACCCCAGGCAATATTCGTACTACAAAGTTTCATCTTAAAGGTGAAGGAGTAGCGGATATTCCTGTTTTGAGATGTAAAGATTAATAGTACTGGTAGAGAAATGTGCATTACTTCACCCTCACCCCCCTCAGTAACAACTAGTATCCGCTTATTATCCCAGTTTTCATATGGACAATTGTACATGAAGTGAAATGGGGTTTCTGTACCAACCGGGCTACTGAATACAGGAATATGTAAGGCAGTGTATCTGTAACGTCTCGGGGTATCCTTCAATGATTTACACGGTACCTCGTGTTTTCGTCCCATCCGAACTACTTGACAATTGTCCTTGGCAGATCCTCTGTACTGCAACGATGGCATGGAAAAATCAGGATGGGAATACACGGGGGGGGGGGGGCTAACATTGGGGTCGAGCCTGGGCCTGTCGAAGATCTTTAATAAAATGCACCTGTTCTTGTCATATCTAAAACATTTACAAAATGTACTTAAACCCCTCAGGTACAGGGGAGTTATGAACAGAAATATTATTAATTCTACTTCGCCTTAAACTAGTTTCGCAACATTCTATAAACGGAAGTATCTCCAAACTTCTACATTCACAAAGAAAAAACACATTTTGTATAAAATATTTCTGGTCTGTGTAAAGCTGAAATAGTTTGACATTTCAGACAGACAGGATGAAATTAAAAGGGATCATGTTCATCTCGTTAGTCTTGTTTTGTAACAAATATGACATCATTAGGGCGTATCTCAAGATCTCTATAGTGAGTAGCCCTGTCATAATTCAAGTTAAACACTTTTTAACGAATCTGTTCTGGTCTGTTTGAAACCTTGCGGCTCAAAGCAATTTGGTTACGTCGAAATTTAGTTCGGCTAGTAAGGTTACGTTATTACTAGTATGCTAGTTCACGATTTCCACGGTGAACCTCCCACGGGCTTTCGAGCAAGACGTGGCACATGTTGCTCTATCTGGAAAATGTTTTGAAAATATTATAAATCCAGCCAGAGAGACACGAATTAACATTAGAGTCAATGGGGAAATCAATAGTTTACGGTGGCTATGTAAGAACTGAAAACGTAACAAAAATTAAACGAAACGAAGTATTAATAATACAATTCTACGTTGGCTGGCTAACCTGGAGGTCCCGTGTTCGCGCCCTGGATTTTCCACCAGTGTTGTTCCCCTTTGTCAGCGGGGGGCAGGTCCGAGGGCTTGACAAGGGACAACGTATAGTCGTTCGGATATGACAAAAAATGGGCCCCGTGTACACATTAGCGTGTACGTAAAAGAAACCGTGACAATTGGAATTCGATGTAAGAGTAGGCTGTTGTGCCGCTGTCCGGGCAAAATGTCCTTCATCGCACACTATACGGCGTATTAGTCCAGTCGGTCACAATATGACGTTTAACCCCATTTCATTTCCAGCTGAAACACAATAGTAGAAGGTTAAACCCCATTTTATTTCATTTTCTAACTATTTAATATACTAAAAGAGGAGTGTGAGTGGTTGGGTTAAAGTAATCTAAAATAGAACGCGACAATTATAATGGTTATGACACAGTGGCTACTCCCGTTCAGGTTTTACACCGCAGTCATTTTCACCACATTCAACATTTTGTGGTAAAATTTGCGTCTTTTTATTCACAGTAATGTGTTAACGTTCGGTTATTGTTCAAGATTTCTGAAAGAGATTTTGTATTATCCTAATTCTCTTTCACAAGCACTGGGAAAAAACTCGTCCCATTTATTTCGCCCTCTATTCAATGGTAAGTAGCCTATATCAACCGAATGCATTAAATCTGATATCGCTATTAAAGGCTGTAAAGGCGGTATGCTATTGTCGTATGTGACCTTTGACATACTATCATAATGTTACTCATATTTCCATATTTAACATAATTCAAATATCGATTAACAACAAAATAGAATCATCATGCGCATAAAAGAATGTCGTTTTACAGCCTATCCCTATGACATATTTTAATTGTCTTTAACAAAATCAAATATTGCGCAGAAAGGAATGTCGTTTTATGGTCGATCCCACGACTATTTCCAAATTCGGTTATATGGTCAAATTCTTTCATTGTCTACGTTTGGTGCCAATTTTGAAACGCCCGCTCTATGTCTTGCTTGCGAATTGCGACTTTCCTGTGGAAGTTGGAGGCCAGTGAACAGAGTGATCACTTCCGGTATCAGGCGTTCAACCCTCCCAGTCGACATAGTCAAAGCCGTATGCACTTTTATAAACCATGCCTTCGTTAAATGTAACACACTATGATATCACGACCATATGCATACATTGTCTTCTCAATATGTCATTTTAGCGCTATATGAATCCCTTGCAAATTACAATACAATACTGTGAAAGCTTAATCTTAAATACAGATATCAGTCCAAATGGTTCAGTCCTGTTCATTATTTACAGATGAATTGAAAGGTCATCGAGCGATAAAGTTCGCCATGTAATAGGCCTGCCGGCATTTTGCTGGCCGCGAAAATTTATTCATAGTCCTGTTTTACATCCCAATGAATCCAGACCTGGCGATTATCTATGGATTTTGACTACTTTCTTCATTAAATATAAAATAATCAATCTGGGTACATTTTATAGTGGATTAAGTCGTGAGATATTTTATAGTGGATTAAGTCGTGAGACATTTTATAGTGGATTAAGCCGTGAGACATTTTATAGTGGATTGTTGTTAGTTAGTTGTATTTTACGTCCGCTTCCACCGAGGTGATATCGCAGACAATATAGTGGATTAAGTTGTGAGACATTTTATAGTGGATTAAGCCGTGATAGTGGATTAAGCCGTGAGACATTTTATAGTGGATTAAGCCGTGAGATATTTTATGTTTTAGCGAAAAATAACAATGACGCATCGTTACTTTAAACTGAACTAAATATCAGAATAGCATAATTCAAATAATGACCACGATCTTAACTGATTCATAATAAATGATATATTTGCCGTGGGTTATAATGTCAATAACAGGTCATCATCTATATACCAGGTGAGATTTTATATAGACTGGGTTAGTGAAGTGTATTTGTGACGAATAACCTTCAGTTGAACCTATACAAGGATCACATAAAAATGAAATGAAATGGAGTTTAACGTCTCACAGTCCTTCTCCGACTGGGCTAATGAAGACGGACATACGCCATACGGTGTGCTATGAGGGAAAATTTTATCCGGAAAGCGGCGCCACGGCCTACTCGTATATCGAAATCCAAATGTCAAGGGTTACGTGTACGCCAATGTGTACACAGGACGAGATTAATAAATTATTGCTTACTACCTAGGTTATTATGTGAAAAAGGAACCCCAGTTGACCTTGTTA